GGGGTAATACGGTAACAATTATTATTATCACCATATGTGTACAGTCTTTCCATGTTTTGGTCAGATAACAGATTGATGAACGAGAGTGGCGCAAGTTCGAGTGGGCCCCAACTCGGTCACGACTAACATTAATGCAACTGCTGTAATCCCTCTGCCAACACAAAGAATAATATATTTCGGAACTGTTTGTAACCACTCTTTGTCAATATACAATAGGTGATTTTCTTTTTTAAAAGCTCAATGTTAAAACTTGAATCTTTCAGAAGAAAATACGGTGTTGAGATACCCTGATTTTATCAAAATTGATCATCATCAAAAACTAATGTCACGTTTGTCAAATCCCATCCTATGTTTTGATACCCTGACGATGCTATGACATTTGTTTGTCCTGTTTTGTTCGATTTCACCCATAGTGTTAGGTTTCACAGTGAACGAAAAATGGTCCATTTTAGAGGGTTTTGAAAACTGATAATACTTGTACCATTATACTTTTACTGGACAAGTCAGTTGTTGATAGTACCGATATATAATATAAAAAACTTATATGCATGAGTTGCTAATCTGTTGTGGTAGTCTGAATGCATTAACTGAAAGCATTAACTAGTTGCTAATCTGTTGTGGTAGTCTGAACCTCAGACCACTAAAACAACAAACTGGCAACAGCTTTAGGTATGAACCAGGGATTAAGTCTGCAGCAGGCATGCCACAGCAGACCTTTATGACACAAGCCTACGCAAAGATTTTTGAAGTAAGGTTACAGTGAGCGCAAGATACTTACATACATCTAACTCCCGCACCTGGTAGGTAATTACCGAGGGACTTTGCAACATCCCAAGACACTTTCCTAGATGATCCAGCTGCCGTTGTAGACGCAATAAAGTTACATACCCGCTCATGTGACAGTTAATCAAAACACCGGACACGGTATGCCTTTGGTATGTGGCCACAAAAAACGTTCATTGGAGTGTCTAGGAAAATGTCTGGGGATGTTTCAAAGTCCCTCGGTAATTGCCTACCACGTGCGAGAGTTACATACTGTAGGTGTATGTAAATATCTTGCACCCGTTGTAAGATTCTATTACTAACCGCTTCCCTGGTTGAGAGTTCTGAGTAACAGTTATTATGACAACAATTCAAAAAATGCAAACAAACCACATCATAGTTGTATCGTTTTGTCATTTTGAAAATAAAATGCAAAAGAGACTGTGACATTAGTGTCATTCACGTTGGCTTTGAAAGGAGTGACCTAGGAGTCAAATCCACCAAATCATGAACGTCACATCTTAGCTAGAGACGAATATTGTCAAAATGGCACCCTTCATTGGAAAGACATCACTGCTTATGTCACGTCGAAGAGAGAGTTGGCAGTGTTTTTTGGGTTTTCCTAAACTGAATTTATTGTTACTTAAACTGTATTTAGATAATGAAGCAATAAATATAGTACTTCTAGATTTTGATACTGTAAAAATTTCAAATAAAACCTGCCACATATCGCGCCCCCCGCCTCCCTGACTTAGTTCAAAACTACAAATTTCTGCAGTTGTAGCATTGTTTCACAAACGATAGTTATTAATATGATTTTAATAGTACTTGCATTTATCTGATTTGGGTGTTATCCTAATGTCATACTAGTGCTGAACTAGCAGCCAAATAAAATATGTAAGCCTTAATCTTTCATTTTTGCGAGCATTTTTCAAAAATTTCCCATGCAGTTAAAATGGCAGTGTTATTGGTGACAGTATTTGACAGTTTGACATATGTGATTTAACATATGTGAACATGCATTTGAAAACTTGATAGGTAAGCAAAACTTTTATTTATTTATTTATTTATTTGTTATTGTTTTTTTCTTTTTTTATATAATTTCAGAACATGTAAAAATAACCAGCAAATTAATTCTTTGTTAGACAATGTAGATGGTAACTTGAGGTCAGTACTATCGGTAACATTGATTTCAGACACAACACTATGTAGCTTTTGAATGGTCAGCACATTTTAAGACCGAGAAACTCTCACTGCCAACCTTTTAAAAATGTATTCCAACAAACTCACTTTTTTTTAGTTTAATCAAGCAAGTTTAATTAAGCAAGTTTAATCAATTTATTGGATTCAAAAGATGAGCCCATAAACAATAGCTCATTTGCAAATCAGGCTTTTTTTGTTCTGAGTCTAAACATATTAACTTGGCCGTGCAATGGCCTTGCATTACATGTACTGGTAGTTGTTAATACTTACTGTTGCAAAATTGAAATCAGTGGCAATCCAGTCTCTGGCTTGTCGGTATTCCTCCATTAATCCCATAAGATACAATGTATCAGTAGCATCTACTATCGTTGCTCCCATGCGTGATCGTCCAAATATACTCGCTGAATGACCAACTTTAGAGTTTGGTTTAAGTTCGTTCTCACCCCAAGCGTATTTGTGATAACCAGTCCACGCATGTTTCATCATCTACAAGTTAAATGCATAATAATAAATTGTAAAACTTTTCAGACGAATGTAAACAATATAATAATGAGATTTCAGGAGAACTGTTTCTAGATCACCAGCCATTTTCAAAAGACTAGGCCTAAAAGTATATACATTGTATTGTTTGCAGTTTGCCAGACACCATTTTGGTTTTTCTTGTGTTCTCACTAAAAAAATTAGGCCTGGTAATTCAAAAATTATAATCTCATGTGTTCGTACCAGAAGTTTTACAAGCGGTGTAAATATGGCAGCCAATGGATAATGTCACAGTGGCACTTACTCGCTGATAGGTGACGAGTCGATTGATCCTACATTTCTGTCTTCTGTGTACTTGAGCAATTGCCAATTCTGGGCCATGTCATAATAATGTACATAGTACATATCAATTCGTTGCAACGAAGCAGTGTATTTTGAGTTTATAAATTGTATAAATGTGGGTCTCAATTTAAATTTAGGATGCCAATGTACTTCAAACACCCAATGTGAATAGCTTGTGGTGATGAAGTCCCTTTACGCCTGCGTCTGTCTGAGTTCGCACGTTTTTAAGCCAGCGTAAATATTATATAAACATAAATAGTTATACTGGCATAAAGTTTTGTTTATAGTAATATAGTTTGAATATAAACATGTCAGAGATATGGATCCAGAAGCTAACATGATATTCAGTCATCTTGTATCTGATTGTCAAACGAATACTTGTCTATGTTGAGAGATATTGCTCTGGAACAGCATTAATTTAAACAAAATGTCCATTGAAACCAATACATCTGTATATCTATGACATGATGCATAATGAATAAATGAAATTTGAACATAATCAGTCAAAGCATGTCAGAGATATGACACTAGAACTGCATTGATTAAAACAAAACAGCCACCAGTCGGCCATTTTGAATCCAATTTAAAAAACAAAATGACATGCATCAAGATAGCACAGTGTCCCATGTATGTCTGTAAACAGTTGCGAAGAGCCAGAAAAGCTTGATTTCAATGATTTTTCAGCACAAAAATGGTCGTCATTCGGCCATCTTGAATCAGAATTGATGTGCATTTGTATAATATTATGTATGATGTATGTGTGAAGTTTGAATGTAATCGGCCCAGATATGTCTAAGATATAGGTCTGGTGTGGGTCCATAAGTCCATGTTTTTGAACAACGTTAAAATGGGAACTAAAAATTAAGAAATATATAGCGAAAAGGATTGACTTGGGCAACTGGACAATCATAAATTTCAAACCCTGTAGACACACGTGAGTCATAAACCTTCAATCACATTTCTCAGCGGCAATATTGTTTGGGAGGAACATAGATTTTGAAGATAAAAGCAGTCAAAACACAAAATCATAGCACATGCCATAACGAATTTATAATGGCCACGTCAACTGTGAAGATTGCTACTAGAAGACAAATAACCTTTTGAATATGTATCAAGAGACAAACTGATTAAATTCTGTAAAGGGTCAAGAGGGGTGAATTCCATGCTATACATGATGCTTACTTAGTGCCAGGTATTAATTGCCACACAACAATTTACACGGAAATCATGTTTATTTATTTCTAAAGACTTCTAATCACTAATTACCCTCAGAAATTTCTTCAATTAGCCTAATTAGACAAAGAGATACCAAGACCCATGACAATCTACTTAGACGATTCTGTTTGTAGAAATAAGTGTTGGTCAACTCTAATTGAGACTTGTATAGACATCTTGTTGAAACGTGTAAAGGTTGCTACAATTAAGACATTTTTTACAATTAGTTTAATTATTTAGTGGTGATATTTGGCTGTATTTAGGTCTTAAAAAGTGTTTTATTTGACATGTTCCAATTAAAAGGCAATAATAGTGATACCAACAAGACGCACATAAACTTACTAGCTGAGTTGAGGTATTTATGTAAAATAAAACTGCATACATCAGCATTTGGCAAATTCTAATAAAAAATGTTGATGTTTTTATAGGAAATATTTTTGTCAGTAAGTGTGTGGATTTGAATATTGTCACCAACTGTAGTAGTAAAAAGGCTATTTCCAAAAGTTTTTCTTTCTGGTTCAACAAAATGTCTAGACAAGCTCCATTGATATTCAATCCATTGTTTTTGGAAATGATATGACCCTAATGCACATCATTATTTTTTCAGATCAGATTCAAAATGGCAGTCTCACAGCCAAATTTGTTTCAATAAATGCTGAACCGAGGCTGCATGCCTTGACTCTTCATGTTCAAACTTTGTGTTTGTACTAGGCAACAGTTTCTAATATGAATGCCACTGTTTTTATGCACAATTTTCGATACCAAGACAACATTTAAAGTTTGGGACTTTGTGGCAGGGCAGGGCTTCCTATCATAATGGGATTCTGTTTAATAAACAAGCTATACTGGTATCAATCAGGCACAATTGAACACAAGCACCTAGATAGGATTTGAACTCAGGTCTGTTGTAAACAACCACTAAGCTAACAGTTCCTGGTAACAAACATCAATACAACTGTGTCAATGTTATTGTGAATGAAATAATGGGGTTGATCTGCAATTCAAGATGATCAAATCTGATCTGAAGAAACACTATGGTCTAGACTGGCAAAGTGTGGACTTCTTTTTTGTTTCACAAAAAGAAATAATTAATTGTCCTTTTAGTCATTTTAGCGTGATCTCGAAAACTTACTTGACCACTAAAGAAATCCCGACTGGACGCATCTGCAGATATTTGACTGCTATTAATTATTCATGATGTCATTGATTATTCATGAGTGGGTGTGTGAAAGTAAACATGACCTTTCAAAGGTTGATTCGAATCGATCACAGAGATGGATTTTTTAACTTTCTAAGTGCGAAAGCAATACTTTCATCCAAGTTGATTTAAATGTCCAATGTATACAAGTCTTTCAAAATCGCCGGGACCTCAGAAGTTAATGGTCACGTACATTAACATAGATAACATATAACGTATATAGCTGCACTCTGATTCGTTGTCAATGCTAGTCAACAGCTTTTAATTAGCATAATCACCGGAGTGATTTCGCTCCGGTTTTCACTCCAACGCAGGGGGTCGCCTGCAGATGCGTCCAGTCTGGATTTCTTTCGCAGTCATGCTAGTTTTCGCGATCACATTAAAAAGACTAAATTGACAATTAATTATATAAGTCCCGATTTTGCCAGTCTAACTATGGTCCTTTAATACACGTCATTAAATACATAAACCAACAATAGTTGTATAACCACAATTCCATTTAGGTTATGAACAGACGAAATGCCTGAATTTGATGCTTTTTTTTAACATGAAAAGTGCCAACAATATGCAATCTTGAATTGGATTAATTAATCTGACAAATTAATGTACGTATGTGTGACATGATGTATGATTTATCTATAAAGTTTAAAATGATTGGTCAAGGCATACATGTACAAGAGATATGGCTCCAGAACAGTTTAAATCTGCTGACAAACAAAATGACATGCATCAAGGCCCCATAATGTCCAATGTGAGTACCAAGTTTAAGTAAAATCCATCCCTACACAACTGAGATCTGGTTGAATTTTTAAAATTAAAATGGACTTCATTCAGCCATCTTGAATCAGATCATGAAACAAATGGATATATGAAGTTTGAATGTTTGACATAAATGTGAAAAAAATACAGCAAATTCATCAACAAAAACAGAGCATAAAACTATGTGAAGGCAAATTTTTTTTTTTAAATTGTATTTTTCAGCCATTACCCTTACCAGAGAGTCTCTAATAGTCTACCATAAAACAAAAAATACTTCAACAAAATAAATTTTGGATGTGAATGCATGTCATGGTTTTAGGAGTTATTATACATGTATAAAGGCTATTTTTTTATATTTTAAGAATAAGATTTTTTTTAGTTTATAGTTTTAAATTTTTTTTTTGTAAGACCCTTTTTTGTCCTTTCTTAAGGATTGTATGCGTCTAATAATTTATATATATATTACATATTACATATATATACAATGTCAAGGTAATACTACTATATTAAAATCAAACAATCAACATGAACTCAAAAAACAATTTTTCAATTTCATGTGCCTTGGTGTATAGTCAATCACTGAATCAAGTATGTGCAACATTGCTTACGGTCGGTATATTGGTTTAACAGTACACATTTTAAGTGACAAGGCGATATGCTATCAAGGACCCTGTGATGGCTAAAACAATGCAAATATCATTTTTAGAATAACATTAATATGGTATAAAAGAAGCTAAAGTATCTGACATATGCTAACATATGTCACTCCACGTTATCCTTGTGCCCTTTGTTATACATGTACATGTATGAATGAACAACATTACAACTCCCTTACCTCACGGACTTTGTCACGTTTTTCTTTCACATCGGCATCTGTCGGTTCCCTGCCTTTCACGCCCACAACACCTGTATCAACGATTTCAACATTTGATAATTTCAATCGTATGTCTTCTTCAACTTTTTTCAGTTCCTCTTGTTTTTGGTTGTGTAAAATTTCTTCTTTTTCTTTCTGGATGGCATCAAGGACCTCCTTAGGATTGCCTTGAAGCGCCGCCTGTGCTTCCTCTAATGCTTTATCCTGCCTCATTTGAAACACAATTTTATCTTTTAGAATTTGTTCATCTTGTATTCGATGTTCCTCGTCGTCATGTTTGTCAATAAATCCTTCGCCGGGTTTTATTGAGATCTGAGGATGGGGGAACAACACTTCACCCACTTCACCACCAATATTTAAATCGATGGTTTCTAGTCCGACTTTCTCTGGAATAAACAGAACAGCACCAAAACAAAATGTTCCGAAAGTTACAAATATGAGTAAAATAACATACTTTTCCCGAAGTCGTAAAGTCTGTCGTGCAATTGGAATGGGGACACCATTAGCAGTGTACCGCTGGAATATCGGTAGCGATCCACTACCCGTCGCCATCTTGAATAACCATTCCCAATGTTGGTATGTTAGTATGTTATCTCATTACTCCAAATACAGTCACCACACTTTTCATGTTGGTGGCTTGTGTAGTCTTCAAGTTTGTATGCCATCGCCAATTATAAACCAATACAAAAATTACAATTACATCACAATTAAAGACACCATTGTCTTAACTGGCAGACATTACAAATTGCAGCAGTTGATTCTAGAACGTGGGATAAATTTACACAAAACAAAGTTGTAGATGAAAAACACGTTATGCCATGTATTAGCCAGCATACATGGAGCACTTATTTAACAAAGTGGAAACACGTATTAGAAATTCTGAACCAGTACTGACAGTGATAATTTTATTTCTATTATGTTTAACTGACATGTGCCACTCACTATTCTAGCTCAATTCATAATAATACCAGACAGTAACATCAATTTTTTTTTTAAATATGTTTTTTGGGGTGCTATTGTTTTTTATGGCAATTATGAACCGCTGTGCTGTATAGTGCTGGGAAGTAAACGACAAATGTCCTTGTTTCATTAAATCATCTCGCATTTAGAAGGCGTAACCAATGACGTCGACAGTGAATATCGTTCGCGCGTAGATATGAGGTGAATCGTTTTGAAATTTTTTACGTAAGTTGGCAAATAGAGAATCAAATCATTTCGTTGTACGCCCTCTATATGCGTTTGTTGACTTATCGTCTTTTGTTTTTGTTTTAGGGATACGTACTCTGATATCTCCAGGACGTGAATCACAGATAGTCGACCCAAGAAATAGGTGTCAATGTTCTGAGGGACATGAATTAATACCAGTCTTGCCAGGAATCGAACTTTGAAAAAAGAGTTTTCCTTTTCACCCCCTTAAAATATAAAACACGTTGCAATTTTTGTTCGAATCATCTGAGTTGTAAAATACGTTGCAATTATCGTTTGAATTCCTAAAGACGTAAAATACATTGCAATCTTCTTTCGTATACCCATTCACTGTAATCCTCTTTCGTGTCTCTTGAGTGGTAACATACATTGCAAGCCTCGAATGACGGGTGTCCATCATGATTCAGACAAACAGGCGCCTTGAAATAGAAAACATGTACCATGAAATAACGAATAGTAGGTGTTGAAATCCATAACATCCTGGGACATATCGTGGACATTTCTTTAAGGATCAAGATTTTCTATCATTTCCTGGAAAGCTTTGTGGCTCCTCTTTGTGTCCATTGACTAATTAATGCTCTTGTCCATTCTCCAAAGAAACTGACATCAACTAAACTATGACTCCACGCCCCGTATATGGAGCTATTATGTTCACGTGGTTGGTGGTAGTGTTTACATTCAGCTGTAGAATTTAGGATACCGTGGTTACTAGAGTATCAGATAGACTCAATGTTATTTGAAAAGTGGACTCGCGTGTTAATGGTTCCTATACGTAACTCACCCAGGTACTGGTGATTCGATCGTGGAGAATTATACAAATATGTTATGTACAATGACGCCCGCTATTGTCAAAAATATGTACCTTTGTTTTTATGAAGCGGTGATTGTCCCAGTGGTGGTTGCCACCCATACTAGCATATATTACCCAAAGCGATAACTCTAATCGAAAAGTACTGACATTGTGACAGGTAAACTTCACTGACAAATATCAGCAGATCATCACCCATGAATCTGATGTTGGGGATATTTGGTATGAGCCACGTGGAGCACAGGGGTCTGTCGATCTAAGTATCCGGTGATATGATCTGGCAGAACAAATAAAATAATTTTTTGTCGATAAACATGTTGGTTCGAGAAAAATGCAAGATCCGTGTACATATGGAACTACAAAACACAATTTCGAATGCATTGAATCTTATTTAATTTCTTATTTTTTATGGACACTAGCGACGATTGTCTTAGTTTTAAAAAAAAATGTCAACAGATTCAATGAATGTCTTATAATTTTCGTCTAAAAACGTCGTTAATAAACTCCCTCGACAACTTTTCAGGTCATACACTAAACCACATCATATACAACACAATCTGTCACATAATAACCTAAACACTTATAAAACACATTCGAAAACAGATGACGTCACCTAGAATGACAAGTGAATTGGTCTATAAACACTGACTCATGTTTAGTGTCATAGCAATGACAATGATGCGTGGCTGTGAATGTTTTGTTACTTTTTAACAGTTTATTTTTTGATTATACACATTGCCATGATGGTTTAATTGCTTGTAAGATCCTGTTAACATGGTACGCTCAATACTGTTACATGGGATTGTCTGCAACGGAACCCTGTTCCTAGCATCCTCTGCCCATTCGATCGATCAGTACGCGCAAAGGACGCCGAATAGACCTGCTCATGCTCGTAGGGTTGATAAACCTCGATATGGATTGTAGACACCGTGTGCAAAAAAGTGTACGAAATTCATGCTAACCCGTTGTTCCGGGGCCAGCTATTTTTTTAATAGCTGTTTTTCGAAACGTCGCTGTAAACACCAAAGTGGCGGCCGAATTCCGTGATGGGTCAGATACACATCGTCATGTAAACATGTCGCGATGGTATCAATCACAAATCAGAGCCAAAATTATTATCAGTGTGGCTGTAAATATTAGTGTTTCCAGCACTTGTTGATGCAGATGCAGATCTTGATTTTGAAATGACTGGATGCCGTTGTACCGTTGAGTGTAATAGAATGTTAAATTGAATAATATATATATCCAGCAATTAAAGCAAGCATAAAATAGAGTAAACTTGAATTTATTCATCAAACAACAAATTACATAAACAAATGTGCTGTATGATCCCCCAGCGGCCAGTATTTTTCTCTCAGAGCTACCATTTTTTTTTCAACTTACTGACGCACCTTGTTCAGTACAGATTTTCACAGTGAATAAAACACGTATTGTACATATCTATATTTACTACATTATTTCCATCACTGTCACTAAGCATTACACGAGTACAACAAGAACATAAGCCACGTAGCAGTCATTTCGTGAAATGATGCAGTGATCCAAACACGACCCGCATGTCCTGTGTGTACTATATGTATGTAGCAACGTGTTCTGATTGGCTGTAGGGTTGGTTTCCATTCCCCGTCGCGTGTTCCGAGACTTTTTAACAAATATGGTGGGTATGTGGTGGGGTGCATGGCATTACAAATTCCATGTACATTGTTTTCGTTACGTTTAATACTCAGGCTGTTTTTCGCCAAGGCACGATCTACATTGTATAGTGGAATGGCACAGATGGGCACACAACAATCCACTGATCCAATAGTTGGCCATCGTGACGTTTGTCCTGTTCGCGTTGCCTTGGTAACACCCGGTAACACATCACCTTCCACTGAAGGCGATGGAGAGTCACGTGACTGAAATCAGAAGCATTATAAATGTTAAAAAAAGAAGTGATATTCTATCACGTGAATGCGAATTAGCTACTTGTTTCAAATGATGACGTTATGTTCGTGTTTTTTTACTGTTGGTTGTTGCGTTGTCATTCTCCAAGCATCGATGACCCCCCGATGACCCTCACCCACGCCACCAACGGCGGTAATTAGTCGAGGCTTAGGGAATGTTGCGTAGTACGGACTTCCGTTACTTATGTTCGATTTCCAGCTGACATATAAAAAACCGTATATATCAAGAAGGCCCGTATATGAAGGGCATCAAACTAGCTATATTCAGTCAATCACGTGATTTCAGTGGTGAATTTCTTATTTAGGTACGCCTTGTTCCCCGCCACAGCCTATTTCTAACTATTTTTAACCCCAGTACCCTGTGAATTTGGTACTAATTTTAGTATTTTTCTGTCAATATTTTTATCACACAATTCTTCAAATTTAGAATATCTACCCTGCAATATCATTGTTATCAACATAATAGAACGACGGCGTCATTCACTCTATACTTTCGTATAATATTTGGTCATTTTTAATTACAAGTTTGTGGATTCAAGTCACATGATATGCAGCTAGCATCGAGGCATGTAATCAATGCATTTACCGGGTGTTGGATTGCCCGGATGTTTGTGACTGTAGAGTTCGTGGAACTGAATATGAAGTTTATAATAGTAAACAGTACGTGGGCATTACCCTGGTTACATATAAATCAATCCGTAACTCCCGTATAGCCTGAGCTACTAAGTTCAACAGCGCCCCCTATAGACAGACGGACTGTGTTTTGTTCTCAAATTGCCAAGGTTTCAGACGTGACGACGTACTTTTTATCTTTCACTGTTTTTTTCAGATTGTCTTGCAGTTTTTAGTAGTTTTTTTTGCTGCTTTACTTCCCAAAGTCAGTGTTGTGTCAATAAATAAATAAATAATAAAAATGATAAATATAAATGAATAAATATGTATATCATCAATTCACTTCATATCATAGGACCGTTATCCAACTATTAACGATGTCATTGCCGTCACGGCAGTGTGCACAGTATTAACGGTTAACGGATTCCACGCCAACATATTACGTTTTATCAGAAATACCATGCCTTCCCCATTATTTAATATATTGATTTTAATTTATTTATTAATAAGTTGTTTGATACATTATAATTCCCATCTAAAATATGAATTGTAGTCATAATATAACTGCAATATATAGCACCATATGAGGTTATTATCAACACAGTGGGAAGACCGTGTATTTTATTCAATGTATTTTATTTGGAAGGAAAACAAACGAACCATAAGAAACCATGAATGTAATGACATAAGACAGCATTGGATTTATATGCGCGGTCACATGATCACTGTGGTGCCGTATTAATTTGATGTACTTGTCATCTGAGATTGCCAAATAAACGGCGCTGTGAATGCAACATACAAATCATTGATAAACGCGGGTCGTCATATTAATAATAAAGAATAATTACGGTAAACTCAAATGAGAATATCGTGTTGAAATGGACACAGATAAACCAGCAACATGTAAACCGAATCCTCGTTCAATACGCCATTAATTTTTACGATCGAGGTATTTGATTGGACGTCGTGTTGGTAGCGTA